ACTATTTCATTTCAGCAGCTAAGAATCTCTTCAGTGATGAGTTTCCAGTTCTAGTAGCCCCATTTTCAGTTTGTGGTGACCTCCATAACCGTTGTCCTGCCTGCATCTTGCCACCTGTAAGAAGAGTGAGCACAGCAGTTCACGGAGTCTGGGGGACTAAGTGGACTAACGTGTGTGAGCTGCTCTCAGGGGGCCTGACCCGAGAACTCAGTAAGTCAGCTGTGGTGGGAGCTGGAGAGGTGGCTCCGTGGGTCGGAGTCCTTGCTGAACAAGCACGGGGACCTGTGTTTGAAACCTTAGAACCTTATTAAACTGGATGTGGCTGCAAATGTCCCTGTCACCCAAGAGGGTCCCTGGGACTCTCCCGTTACCAGAGTAACTCCAGGTTAGGTGAGAAACCACGTCTCAGGGGAATAGTGTAGAGAGTGACCGAACAGGGCACTTGGATGGCTTCCTCTGACCCCCGAGTGTGCAAGGACACTCGGACCTGTGTCCTTGTACATGTATACATGCACCACACAAGCATATACCCTGCACATGCGTTCTCCGTACAACAAAAACATTCTCAAGTCAGCTTTAGTCCTGACTGCATTGTTTTCCCTGCCAGAAGAAGAAGTTATAAAATGGATAGGGAACGGTCTTCAAAAGCTGTGATTCTGATTATTATTAATAACAGGTTCATAATTATTTCTACCACAGCATTAAGTGAAAGCCCCTTTGGATGGCTGACAAGTGACAAAATAGGAAATTCCTAACGGCTTTGCCTGCTCCTGTCACCAGATCTAGTGACATACCAGTTCTCCCTGGGAATCCTCTGACAAGTCAGCTGAATTTCCTATGCCCTTGCCTTAAGCACCGCAAATGGGATCCACATGTCCCGAGTGTTGTTTCTGTCAATGAAAAGGAGAAAGGAGGAGGTGCTGGGCTGCACCAGGGCTGCCACGGGAACCCCACCCCCACCCCGGCTGTTGGGGCTGTGGCTCACACTTGAATGGCTTTCTCCTCCTTTGTTTAACTCATTGTGATGCCCAGAGCCAACTCCTCCTGGTGTGTCTGACTCAGCTGTTAGAATGTCTGCTTTGGGGAACAGGAGTTTAAAGTGACCCAGCCACATGCTCTTTCTCCTCCCATGGAAATAAGTATTTGAGGAAGTGCTTTGGTTCGGGCCTTGTGGAGCCAATACTAGCTGTGATGGGGGTAAGGGGAGGCGGAGAGGGGCTAGCCTCAGCCACCCTGGTACCAAGGAGGATGGATAGACAGAACTGTCACTGCACCTGCAGGATGATTCAGAGAGACACAGCCAGGGAGGGTCCAGGCCAGAGGAAGACTGCCCGTGTGCCTTTGTCCCACAAGAGAGAAATGTCCCAGGCTCGGGGGTAGGCAGTGGGGGAAGACAGGCTGGGGGGGACATGCATAAGAGAAAGGACCTAGCATTACACAGCTGTGTTCTCACACACATGAGCCACTGAACGGGCAGCGTGAGCCTTGGTGGTGTGTTCATTGATTCTGGACGCCTAGGGGGTCAAGTGTACACATTCTGGGACCATCTCACCTGGATCTGAACCCTACCTGTGAATATTAGTTAGTTAGTTAGTGTTAGTTAGTTAGTTAGTTAGTTAGTTGTCTCTAGGTAGCCTGCTAATCACATGGCTAATCACATATCAGCACAGTGTTTAGGAACTGCAGAGGCCCAGCCTAACCACTCCGCGCTGCTGCATGTCCTTGTCACAGCCCTGCATGCCACAGGGGACTCGAACTCAGCCTTGCCCGCATTCTAAGGACTTTCTAGTTTTCTCAAGAAATTTTAGATTTCACCCCCAAAGTAACAGGTTAGATTTCTAAGTTTTGCTTCATTTTTTATTTTTTTAAGCAATACATAAGCAAATACTAGGCAGAAGTGTGAATAGTCCGTCAGAGAAGCAGTGGCTCCCAGGATTTGGGAATTCCTGCCCTGGGCTCTAAGTGCAGGGAGCATCTCCGTGCTACAGGTTCTACATTTCTGGTGCATGCTAAGAAGCCACACAGTGAGCTGGAGAGATTTACAAGCTGGCATCCCCTGGGATAGATTCTGAATCTCTCTTCCCTGTTGTTGAAGTGCTAATGAGAAACACTAATTGGACTTGGCCAGGGGCTGGGACAGTCCCCTTCACATAGTAGAGAGGGCGGTATCCCTCTCCGGTGGTGACTCCTGGCCTTCTGGGCTTAAAGGAGAAATGTGCTGAGGAGAAAAGTGAGAGCACGCTGCAGGCAGCTGGCCTTTGAAGGAACAGGACTGTGATCATCAGAACTGACCACGCCTAAAATGCAAATCCAGGTTTTTATGCCATCCCAGAACCTGAAAGGAGCACTCTGACCCAATCAAGCTTGTTTTAAATATTCAATGAAGGGTCCCTGAGCCTATAGCCTAGTTCCTTGGAAATTCCAAATTCTAGCTCCGTATGAGTAAAACCCCAGGGGAAGAGGTCCACTCCTCTCTCATTACGACCCCCGGTGCACTAGGCAGAGGAAAGACCCACATTCCCAAGGCTGGGGGCGGGGGTTGTCCTCTGACTCTGTTCTGTCAGGACAGGAGTGGGACACGGTAGCTGTGGTACGGTCTGCAGAGTTCCCCTTTGCTCCCGGTGTGACCTCTGCATCTTCTTTCCCCCACAGGTGTCCTCTCCCTGCCTGCCTACTTCAGCCCCTACAACAGCGGCTCCCTGGGCCACGATGAGCGAGCTGATGCCTATGCCCAGCTGGAGCTGCGGACACTGGAGCAGTCTCTCCTGGCCACATGTGTGGGCAGCATCTCAGAGCTGAGTAAGTGGGGCCTGGGGGAGGAGTCCAAAAGGACTCAGTGGCTGGGTTCTGGCACTAAGTCAGATTGGCCCCCTGAAGCCCCCACGTCCTTCCTCCAGGTCTCATCTGTGGCTTCCGTTTTATTCAAAGCACTAGCCACCACTTGAAGCTTAGATATTTACCCACAAATAGCGGAGTTTTCCATTCCAACTAGAGTTTAGTGTCACAAGGACGGGGCTTCTTCACTTTTACCTACTGCTTTTCCCCAGTGCACAGAACTTTCCCCAACACAGCTCCTGGTGATGTGTGTGTGAGGACATGAGTGAAAATCCACATTCAATTAGAAGGGGTGAGGTCTGTCCCACCCAGTTGGGCTCCTGAAACTCTCCTGGGCTTGGTCTCGCCTGGCCTGGCCTGGCCACTCCTTAGGACACTGAGAAAAGCCATCTCCAGTGCATCTTCTGAGAGACAGAAGAACAGGCTGTGTCACACGCCACATTGCCCGGTCCCTCCCTCTGAAACCAAAGGTTTTGCTAACCTACTCTGCAGGGGAGGAGACAAAGGTGGAGGCAGATATTTTAATTTTTGTTTCAGAGACTAAAGACCTTAATGAGGCTAGTGATACTTGGCACTGAGCACTATGGACTTTCACCCTCGAGTTTCCATGCATTAACTCTCTGTGCCCAGCAAGGACCAGCCTGCCTGCTAAGTTAGGAAGATTCATTTTTTTCTAACAGGTCTAGCCATATGGAGAGCTCTGGTCCTTAGGTTTTTCTCTGTCCCTCTGAACCCATGAAAATTTTAAAGAGAAGGAATGGGCAGAAAGCAAAGCAGTTCTTTTAAGGGTGGCCAGATGTTTGAGGACTTATTTTGAAGACAGTGCTGTGTTCCAGACTCTCGCCTGCTGTTTTTATTTGATGGCTCATAATGAGGGTTGGACCGACCAGCGTGAAACCTAGCACCCCTAATCAAGTCTTTCATGGTTAGTGAGGGGTGAGGGCTTGTTTTCCCATGCCTGGTGGGTGTTTCTGGGCATGCGACCAAGGTTTCACTGAGCTTGGGATCAGTTGATTCTCAAGTACAATACAGGGACGTTCCAAAAGCACCAAGCGTCCACCTGTGCAAGAGCCCAGCCCAGCTACCTCAAGGCTTCATGGACAAGCTGTGCCAAGGGACCACAGATATCTCTGCACTCAGTTACACATGGAAACTTTGCAAAATACACTAAAAATGGGTATCTAGAAAAATAAAATAAGACATGTAAAATAAGACATGTAAAATGAAAGCCGGATTTTTAAAATTTATTCTTAGATAAACACAA